TCTCATATTGACACATTTAAAGTACTTGGAAACAGTTTCCCTGGGTTTTGAATGCATTTAATAAAAATGTAAAAAAGTTAAACTTTCTAATTAGCATATAAACTGATTGATATCAGGAGAAATAGAAATTTACCAGATGAATTTTGATAAAAAACTTTTGCATAATTGGTAGATGGGATAGGATAGTATCCTGATTAGTTCAGCTAAGCCACAGTGTGCTCCTCCCATTTGGACCTACATGCTTTTGTAAGATGTTTTTCAACTACATCAGCCCTTGTAACCAAGTATCAAAATAAACTGGACCTAGAACCAACTCTTGGAATTGCCAAGTCACTAAGAATTAAATTAATAAAGCATAGTCAATCACCTTGCTCTTGTTAAAATATTAATATATTTAGTAAAAGCAAAAAGGGTTTTATACTTTTAATAAATAAATGAAATTATTTAATATATTTTATTTTAACGTATTCTTTTAATTTTGTTTTATAGTGCAAATAATGTTAATTTAGTAATATACACATGTAATTTATATGTAAATATCCATAAATTGGGGTTATGTACTCAAAGAGTTTTTACTAATTGGATGTGCAGACAAAACATTTGGAGATCACTAGATTAGATTGTGTCTAGGATTTGTATGATATTTTACAGTTTATAAAATACTTTTGCAAGCATATGAAATGCTTTTGCAAGGTTCAATGTGTTCTACTTTGAACCTCATCAACAACCTTTTGATGCAGAGAGATGTCATTATGTCCATTTTATAGATAGTCATTATGCCCATTTTACAGAAGAGGAAATGAAGATTCGAATATTTAAATGACTTGCCCAAGGTCTCGCAACTAATTAATAATGGCTCCTCAACTCCAGTACAGGGCTTAGTACTGGATGGTACTCTTTCCATTCATTCCATTCATTGCTATTCTACTGGTCATTCTTCAAGTTTTGATTTCCTGCCCTAATCTAGTATTTATTTTTCAGAGTCCTCAGGCAGTTGCTTTTTGTATTTTGTCTAGAGTTTTTAGTTGTGATCAGTGGAAGAGAGAGACTGTATAAGTAAATTAAGAAAGACTGGGGGCCGGCCTGCTGGCTTAGCGGTTAAGTGAGCGCGCTCCGCTACTGGCGGCCCGGGTTTGGATCCCGGGTGCGCACCGACGCACTGCTTCTCCGGCCATGCTGAGACCGCGTCCCACATACAGCAACTAGAAGGCTGTGCACCTATGACGTACAACTATCTACTGGGGCTTTGGGGGGAAAAAAAAAAAAGGAGGAGGATTGGCAATAGATGTTAGCTCAGAGCCGGTCTTCCTCAGCAAAAAGAGGAGGATTAGCATGGGTGTTAGCTCAGGGCTGATCTCCCTCACAAAAAAAAAAAAAAAAAGGACTGGGAACAAAAAGATGGAAGCCAACCAGAAAGACAGTATATTAATGGTGAAATTATGAATTCTAGTAGATGGCCCAGAAGTTGAATGAATACATTTGATGTGGAAAAAACCATGCAAATGACCCATATATATAGATCATTTGATGATATGAGGGCAGGCTAGAGATGACTGGTTGTGGAAAATTTAGATAGTGAGTATGTATGATATACATGTAGTTATGTGCTATAGTAAAGTTGGCGTTAATAAGCATAATGAATTAAGAATTGTGGGCTTTATTTTGATCATTGTTTTGATTTAATAAAACTTCATATTATATGTAGCCTTTTATTTTGACCGTTCTGTCAGTACATATAACAAAATGAACAAAATTGAAGAATTCTATATGGGAATGAAAAGTTCGAGGTTGCTTGTCTGCTAATAGAGCTATAGATAAACTAGGTTTAACATCCTAAATTGAAAATGATTGGGTCAGGAAAGTGACTTAAAAGTATATATGGTTTCAGATATCATTTTCTAGCCTACAATCAGTAGCATAATCCAAGAAGAAAGAGATTTATTTAACAAATTAAAATCTGGTTTTAACAGGTTTTCATGAAAGTACGTTTTACATACAGCTTCTGGGCTTTTTTCATATTATAAATTCCAGGCGTGACTCTCTTAGCCTGGTGGCAACACATCTGGAAATACTATGCATCACTAAAACTTTCATAGGAAGTTTGGCGTGCTTTGAAATATTGCATATATGATTATAAAAATCCCCTTAGTATTCACTGACATTAAACTAAGATGGCACTGATGGGTATATTATTGTCTATGTTAATAATCTACAGTTGAAAGACTCCCTTGGTTCGAATGAATACAGTTCTTACCTCTAATTGTTCATCAGGCCAATGGTTTATTGTGCTTGCAGGAGGAAAACCAAAATGGTGCAATTAAAACTGGAACCAATATCTGACTATACCCTCTCCTTTTTAAATTATTAAATGGATAAATCTTCTGAAACTAATGGTAGTTTTACTGGTTTAGAAGATGTTAGAGAATTATTTTGGGCTTATCACAGTTTAAAGAACTGTAGACTTGGAGTCTGATCAGTTGGATCTAGTATCAGCTATGTTGTTGATGTACAGTGTCAACATGGACAAGTTACCTAAGCATCCTATAACAAATGTGTACTGGTCCAGTTTGGCTTGATCACAAATGATTAAGCTTCCACACACGTATTAGCATAAACAAACAAATGGTTTTTTTAGCTTTTAAGATAGAGCTACAGTGGTGTAGTCAGATGACCTGGAAAGGCTTGTCAGTGCTGCAGAAGGCTGTCGGGTAGCCAGAAGAACTCTGCAGCCTGAGGAGTTTGTAAGTCAATATAGTCTGTCAAATTGGAGAAGCTGGAGATGCATTAAGGATCCCTTAGTCCTGAGTGAGCAGCTCTCTTCTAGGTTGCACAACCGTCCTTTATCTTCCTTCTGGGTGTGATATAAGTATCTATAATAACAAGAATGTGCAGAATGAAGAGATTTCAATTTAACAAGAACATATTAAACTCCAACTGAATATAAGTAAAAATTCTTTTAACCAGCCTCATTTTAACCCATGCACTGCAGTCTTGTCATTTCCTCTGTCAGTCCATCCTACTGTGTCCAGGGCATGCTCAGTGTTTGCAGCTGATAGGCTACTCTCTAGTATGCCAACATGCTTTTGTCCCTACTGGCTGAGTTGTGTGCTTACCAAGAATCAGTTATGCTTATTTCCAAAACTTTTATTACGTTTAGGCATACCCAGTGACATTAGGACCAATTATTGTTCCTGATCTCACTGGGTAAGAGGGCTTCCGTATATGTAATAGTTGCGCATGGTCAACCTCCTTGTTGAGATTCACCCTGATTACTCTTTTGGAAAACTAGGAGGGGTTGCAGTTTGGGCATGCTCTCTGTACCTATTCCTGTTAATCCTTCCAGTGCTCCCTTTACCTGTGTTTTCCCATCTTAGAGGTGAGTGTGATGATTCTTCATTTATCATCTTCTCTTAGACTCAGGTTTTATGTTCAAAATCAGATAACTCTTTTGCTTTTCTTATTTGGCATTTTGAAACACTGTGGTTTGAGGAGTTTCCCAAACTCTGAATAAACTAAACTAAACTTACACCAATAAGCTTAAACTGAAATGTAAGATGATAGATTAACTTCAGTGGTTTAGAAGATGTTGAAGATGTCAGAGAATTAGTATATTTCAGGCCCTATGGGGTATTACAGTTTAAAGAACCCTAGACTTGGAGTCAGACCAGCTGGGTTCTTGATAGTACTTGTCTTTGCTGCTCTGATCCTGGACTGTTAATTATTGTTACATTTCATGGAGATTTATAGAAGATTTCTTGGACTAACAAAAGACGTTAGATTTGTTTCACATAAAACCACTAGCTGTTTTTAGCACTCTCAGTTTCCATGGACATAAACTTCTTTAGTTAACACTTTACATCTTGGAAAATGAAACTGCTGTCTTATGATTCTTAGTTAAGTGCATGTGGATTATCCTTTAAGTGGTAATGAGCTTTTGGTAGAAGGGTTTTAGCACGTGCACGTGCACACACACATGCTTTGGGGTCAGATGCACTTGAGTTTGACTGCTGGCTCTACTATGTACTAGATGTATGGCCTTTGGAAAGTTACTTAAACCTCTGTTTTCTTATCTTTATAAGAGCGTGATGATACCTCATAGAGTTAATGAAGATAAAAAGAGAATGTGTGTGAAGTGATGGGCATATGGCATAGTTGGCACTCAATAAATGTTCCTTTTCTCTCTGGGTCACTTTTAAAATTTCATTCCATGTCATGGATAAAAAGAGAAAAACTTTGGTAAGCTACACATTTATTCACTTGATGTGGTAGGTCTGGAGACCATTTGCAATGAAACAGTAAGAGGGATGTAGCATTTGCTGCTGCGAGCTTCGTCATTTCTAAAGTTAGTTCATCCATTTCTTAAGTTCTGATTGGTATTGCCAGATCTTTAGAATTTGAACATTTAGTTTTTTTTTTTTTTTTTTTTTTTTGTGAGTAAGATCAGCCCTGAGCTAACATCCATGCTAATCCTCCTCTTTTTGCTGAGGAAGACCGGCTCTGAGCTAACATCTTTTGCCAATCCTCCTCCTTTTTTTCCCCAAAGCCCCAGTAGATAGTTGTATGTCATAGTTGCACATCCTTCTAGTTGCTGTATGTGGGATGCGGCCTCAGCATGGCCGGAGAAGTGGTGCGTTGGAGTGTGCCTGGGATCCGAACCCGGGCCGCCAGTAGCGGAGCGCGCGCACTTCATGGCCAGGCCATGGGGCCAGTCCGAACATTTAGTTTTATTTGGCCCTGGGCACTGACTTTGAATGTGTGGGCGGCAACTGGAGGGAGAGGAACCATGTGAAGGCTGTAAAAAGAATAAATAAATAAAGTTATTGTGGTCATCCTGGCCCAAGTAATCTTCTTTCAAAAGTAAGTCTAAGTAGCATATCACTTCTCTTTTACTACACAAAAATGGGGGGCGGGGGGGGGAGAAAAAGGCATATGTCTTAATATACTATTATATCTTTCTGTCTAAAAAATTTTCATCATTCTTTTTTTATTTGTTTCTCCAGCCTCTGTTCCATCCCTGACCCACCTTTGTCGTTTGGAAATTCGGTCCAGTCTGAAACCAGGACACCTACGATCTGACAGTTTTATCTGTCAGTTACCCCTTCCCAGAAGCCTACATAATTATTTGCTCTATGCAGAGGTTCTGAGGATGCATGAAGTTCCAGAACTGGCCGTTATTCAAGATGGAGAAATCAGCAAGGCTACTTAACACAGCCTACTTACTCTGAAAACCACCAAGACAAAAAGTCATGGAATACGAATTCTTCATGATTTAATAGTCATAAAAGATGATTTTTGTTTTTGTGGTTGGTTAGGTTTTGACGGACAATAGTTTAATGCAAATTACCCCTGGGCTCATTGGTAAAAAAAAAATATTGTAAACCTCACTTATGTTACTTTATTGCAGTTTTATCACCAGTACATTTTATGTTGTAATATTCATTTACCTAACCATTTTCTGGTATATTCTGTTAATGAACTGTAATGCCACTTCTAGTGCTAAACATGGAATATTTCCGCCTGTGATTCGGTGTTTACCTAGAGCTGGGAGCTTATAATAGAATGCATAAAACTTCCCTGGACGTGAACTCACAGTGGGCTTGAATATTATTATTATTATTTTATTTGAGGTTGAATATCTCTTATGTTTATAAAAGAATTATATTCCATTCTCATCTCTTAATTCAGTCACTTTTATGAAAAACTGATGTTCACTGGCTTTTCACAGGTAAACTCGGGAGAAATTTTTTTTTTAAAGAATGTAGAAAATGAATCATTTTGCTATTGTTTTTTTCCCCCAATTCCTCGATACTCTCTTTGGCTAAAAAAAGACTCCATTTCTGCTAAGGCAAGAACAGACCTAAACTCAAAGATATGCTCAGTTGAAAAAAAATTAGGTCGGTATTGAAAAAAAATTCGGTCTGTATTGAGGTAAATGAGCATTTTACTACATTTAGAATGCTAGTCAGGAGACTGGGAGGGGCGTTTCTCTGGTATCATCTTTAAAGAAAGAAAGGTATGTATTCTTGAGTCACTCAGTATCAAATAAAACAAGCTCCACTCAGCCTCCAAATCAGAGGGCAGCTTTGATCCTATGAGGCAATGATTGCCAATTCTACTAATATTATTGTGTTTTTCCTTTTTGTTATCAAGATAGGTTATCAAATAGTCCATGAAATTTAGACCTCAGAATCCTAGGGTAGTGAGCCACTGCCTCATTGGTTTTACAATTGCTCGATCTGAATCTAGAGTCAGAGGACTAAACACTGGATCGAGTTATGATTCGAGGCTGTGGGGACCAGCCTTGAGAGAAAGGTTATGAAAGCACTTCTGTCATAACAGATGACTAGAAATGGGGTCCAAAGGAGGGCAAGTCTTCTGTTCTTTTGGGATTCTGTGGCTTAAAATAGATGGGAGTGGGTCATCCAGGTGCATCTCTGATAGGCCTTTGCTGTTTGATAAAAGCAGTGATGAAGACAGACCAAATGATGGAGGCGTTGATGACTGAACTCAGTACAGATTAAAGCTATCCTTGTTGCCTGTGGAGTGGAGATAGAGTATGAGTGTGGATATAATGGTAGAAATAAGGGTAGATATGGAAAACCAGGTGGGAATTCTCATACTTAATTTAATAAAGAAATTCCAGGAATGTATATACTATAGAGTATTTTTTAAATGTTGTCCTAATCTTTATTTTTTCAAACCCTAAGTCTCTTTTAACATAACCAGTTTTTTTTGTTAAGGCCAAATGTACATAGAATGTTTACATTTGAGAGTGAATCTTTTCATGTGTTTTTGTTCATGTTCAAATATGTAATAAAAATTCAACTATGCATAACTTACTGAGCTCTTGTTCTTAAAACTGAAAATTAATATTTCAGGATACTTAAAAGCCCTTGGTATTTAAAACATAAATGATTTTACTTACTGTATACAATGTATATTTCTTTTAGACTTTTATAGTGAAAAATTTATGGCTTTATGGTTTATAACGAGGACTCAGTGAGAAATCTAATCTAAAAGTATCTAAATGTAGGTGAGTTATAGTTACAGCTTCTGATCAAAATGATATATGTACTTAGTGTGAAACTTAAGCCCTGCCCTGCATGCACGAAGTTACTGTAATCATCTCAGTTTAAAGTCACAATAGGGGCTGGCCCGGTGGCATAGCGATTAAGTTTGCGCCCTCCCCTTCTGTGGCCCGGGGTTTGCTTGTTCGGATCCAGGGCACGGACTGACACACCGCTTGTCAAGCCATGCTGTGGCGGTGTCCCATATAAAGTAGAGGAAGATGGGCAGGGAGGTTAGCCCAGGGCTGATCTTCCTAAGCAAAAAGATGAGGATTGGCATGGACGGATGTTACCTCAGGGCTAATCCTCCTCACACAAACACAAAAATAAAGTCACAATAGCCTAGTGACGAACTCCATATAGTAGTTCTCTAATGGTGGTACATATTATCAGAACAGGGCACAAATCAGTTTTAATAACAATTGCCTCGAGTTCTCCCTTCCTTGATCGGATGTTATCCTTTAAGTATTTTTCCTGCTGATCCTTCCTGTCATAGGATATCTTTCTATGATCATTTGATGTAATAGTGGTAACCAGAACGTTGTTTCTTTAAATTTCTATCTCCCTTTCGCTGGGTAGCAAGTGTCTTGATATGTAGCTTTCTGGTGGTCCTACTTCCCAGAGATCAATTACACACTTCCTGTGTCCCATGGCCACCTGTGACAGTGATAATCCTTGATAGGCAGCCTAAGTGTTATGTCACATGGACCAGTTGATATCTCTAACTTTAGATCTGTTCTTCCCACTTAAGTCCATCTGTAAACGTGTGAAAATTGTGATGTTTTACAGATCTTCAGGTTAAATTATATCAGGTACAGTTTGAAGACAGCTGAGTATTTTTGATTCATTACTCCGTAAAATTCTACTGTAATTTTGTTGGTCCTCAAAAACCTATAAAAATGACTGTAATAAGAATGTAAATAACTACATGTCTTCTCTGGAATAGTGACCTTGATGGTTCCGTCAGAATGGGGTATAGAAAGAAGTTGAGAAAATCCATCTAAGTTTACCTTTCACTTTTATACTCCTGTATTCTCAAAGGTATAGACCTCTAATTATATTTCTTAATTAGTCATAGAAATATTTGTTTGAAGAGGAACTCTTGGTGCAATTATTGCCAGCAGATGCCTGGTACTGTTGTGGAAAGATTTTAAATGGTAGGAATGGGTGAAGGGCTAGTGAAGTTGCTAGTAAGGTGGCCATTTTCAGTTTTACGATCAAATGCTTTAGATCTAACAGTTTGGGGGAGTAACCAATAAAACTACACGCTGCCGCTTTCCAGTTTCATGAGTTCATCCTCTATAGCAAGCAAATGGAAGCTCAGCCTACTGGCTTTATTTAAATACTCAATTTAAAGAGGATCTCTAAGCCAAAGGGATCTCTAAAGCTTTTCCTGTGAGCTGGGAACATAATAAGTGCACCTTGGGTACCATTAATTCCCCTGAGTTTCCTCTACGAGAGCACTTGCCTTCTCCCTTCTCCCGAGCAGCCAGTCAAACACAACTGAGGTATCAAGACTCATGTGTAGATGAGATCTCAAACCCAGAGATTCCATTACCCGAGGCTCAATATGACCTGAGGTGGTTATCTGAAAGACAACTGAGAGGGAGTGTACCTGCATCAGGAAAGGAGTGCCATACTCTGTTTAGAGCTAATGTTGGATCCTGAGTTTACACCTACACATTCTCTCCAGGAGAAGGCAGTGTTTATGACTTCAGGTAAATATGGCCCATGTGTGAGGGCTTAGAGACTATCATGGTAGTTTTATAAACATGCTTGGATTTTTCTTTTTTTTTGTGAGGAAGATTAGCCCCGAGCTAACATCTGTGTCCATCTTCCTCTACTTTATGTGGGATGACTGCCACAGCATGGCTTGACAAGCGGTGCGTAGGTCCATGCCTGGGATCCGGACCTTTGAACCCTGGCCTGCCGAAGCAGAGCACGTGAACTTAACCGCTATGCCACTGGGCTCACCCCCATCCTTTTCCATTTTTTAGCAAAACATTTAAGGAAAACAATATTCCTGTGTGCCACTGTTGAGATTTCTTGCTTTGCTTTCTCTTTCATTGTTTTTCTCTTTGAGGCTAAAGTCTGTTTATTTTCATTTGTAATTATTATAATTGTTATTAAATGACAGGTGGTCATTGAAACACAATACCTTGCAGTAAGTGAGCTTTTTGTTGGAGTCAATAAAAACCTGTGGTTTTAATGAGACAGGGAACTAATTATGCTTAGTATTTTTGTGACATATTGGTAGAAAAATGTATAGCCTTATTTGCAACAACATGTCAGTAATTTATACTGAGAGGAGGCCAGTCTGAATTATATTTTTTATGGAAACATATACTTTGAAATATACTTTGGGCACAGATTTTAAGTACATATCTTCTTTGGTTGCTTTAGTGAGTAAAACATTTAAATTTTAAATAGAAGACATCTAGTAGCCTGTCCCTATGCTAATAAAAATCTTTTAAAATTCTTATATAGCGGTAACAATACTAGCACATATTAAAAAAAATATTGTAAAATTCAGGAAGGAAGATGGAGCCATAGTTCTATTATCTTGACCAAGGATTAATGTTAACCTATATGTTGGAATATTTTCTTTCTTTTAGGTTTTTTAAAATTTATACACAAGTTTGAGGAGGTTTTTTTTTTCATATTTAAAATCAAACCACCTTTGCAATTTTGTACCTGATCAAGCCTTTTCTTTATCATGTTAATGATACCTGCAGCGGGGCTTAAGCCATGAGTTATCACAAATTCTGACTTGGCAAGAATGAGAAATATTGAGGCATTTCTGCGTTAATTCTTTTCCTAAGACATCTGCATGAAGCAAACAACTCCTCCTTCCTATTTGTAAAGGAAAGAAGAGAATGGAGGTGAGACCTTTGTGAACCTGTGCTAGTTATCTGGTTTCAGCCCAGGATAGTCATGCAATTGCATATCCTTTGCATTACTCTATTAGAACTATGCATGGTATGTATTTTTAATGAAGGAATTTGAAATACCATTGTTGTGGTAAAGATTAGTGTCTGCGTGGTTTTCCTGTCTCTTGGCTTCTTTTTCATGCATAGCACTAATAGATGAAGCAGAACAGGTGGTAATTGCCATTGGCGCACTGAGACTTGTGAATAGCATCTGTTTATGTCTCTTTTACCATCAAATGGTTAGCATAACCTTCTCTTCACTGCTTTCTTGTGTGGATGATAAAAGTCTATCATGAGTCATTATAACGTGCTAATTTACACTCTTTTTCTAACATGATGGAGTAGGTGAAGAAGAAACTCCATCTGGTAACTAAATATGACTATGATTTGAATCAAACAGTTAAAAATAAGGCATAATACTTCTGAGGTTATTACAGAATATTGGATCAAATAATATGTGCCAAAGATATCAATTCCAAGCTAGAGTAGTTCCATAAATAGATACAG